TTTTTTTTTTTTGCAATCCAGAACCAGGTAAACACTTGTGTTCTCAAGCAGTGATCAAATCAAAACTTAACTTGGTTCCTTCAGGGGATTCTCCCAAGGGTATCCCTACAGGGTACCCAAGTCGTCTAATTCTACAGCAGAAAAAGAATTAAAATGCACCACTTTTTTCCCCTTTTTCAGTTAATGCACTATTATTATAGGATCCAAAATAGTCTGGGAAATTTTTGTTTTTCAAAATCAGGGAAATTTCAGGGAATAAATGGAGAAAACGGGAAGGTTCCCTTTTGTACTGTACCTTTGAAAAAAAACAACTAGACCAAACTGCTGAACTAACTTCATTCAAATTAAAACCTTTAGTACAACATACTTTCAATAAGCGACCACCAAACTAACTAAGAATTGACACTACTCAACTTATACCAACAACTACTCGCCCCTACAGTAGTCACTACGGTATTTCTGGACTTTAACAGAACTCAAGTGATATTCTTCAACCAGCCTCAACACAAACTTCACCAAAAGTAAACCAGTTGAATCAGACCTTAACTGATCAGTCACTGATTACTACCTTTTCATTATGGCTTGACAGGTTCTCAAAGCATCAGTGCTTTTGCACTAGACAAACCACGTTTTTTTCTTTTGTGGTTGGCAACTTGACATTTGTTCCTTTGGGCATCTCAAAATGGGACATACTGTAATGTATTCCTCAATCCCCCATCTCACTCTCCAACCTTGTCATGATTCACTATTATTTCCCAGGGTTCCCCAGATTAAGGATTAGTTTTGAGTTGATCATTGCATTCCTCGATGTAAACCAAGTTCTGCTTTTAATTTCAAAATACCACAGACATGTAAATAATTTAAAATGCTTTCATTGGCTCAGTAAGTAAATTAGTTTTTAAAGTGGATAACATTTCATTTGGTTATATTTTATGTTTTTGCTGTATTTCCTCCTTGAAACCCCTGTGGGACTTCCTGATTTTTGCCCATACATGTACATGTATAAGAAGGGGAAGCTCTTTGCAAGAAGGGCTTAATAGTCATATATATCAAAACTGCAATTTTGTAGGTTGAAAAGGAGATTTGGATAGACTTGTTAGAATGGAGACTCAATATAATCAATACTTCTGATTCAAAGTTCTGGGATTGCACAAAACAATCAGATGATCTGTATAAATTTATCGTTGACAATTTATCGTTATCCTTTTTGACCTCAACTGGAAGGGCTTAGAAATTTATGGCTGAAAGAGTGCTGAGCTGCTGTTTCACCGCTACACTGTAATATGATCACCCATCATATGGATCAATACAGGAAAAAGAAAGACATTGGGGCTAATTATGAGGGATACTGGATAGAAGGAGGTGAAAGGAAATTCTGACTAAAATTCATCATTTAACACTCCCTCCCCCTTCCTTCTCCCCTTCCAAAACATTTACGCAAACTGCACGTTTTCATCATTGTTGAAAAATTGTACTGGACCAGGGACCGTTGGGTTGGTGCACTTATAAAGATAGGCCTGAGGATAAGTGAAAGAGATTGGAGATCATTTAGATCATTAGAATCAAAAATAGATTGGCATAGGAGTAATTAGGGGGAGGGAGAAGAATACTACAACATCCATCATGGCAATCTTGTCAGTTCATAGGTACATGTAACAAAGTACACCTGGGGTTATGTACATTGTATGCTTTCTTGCCGTCAGAAAAAACTACAAAACTTCAATTTCTTATAGTTGAAGGGTTGCAGATAAACTTTAAGGCAGGTTGTCAAGA